CAGCAATTCGACTGTAAGCTCTCCAGCTGCCACTGAGGATGGTAGTACCGTGCTCGATGTACTACTTCATGATGAGCCGCAGTAGAGTTGAAACGTCTTTCCTTCGGACCATCCGAAGGAGTCCACTTCCTCTTTCAATGCCTCCAAACAGCCACTTGTGTCTGCGTACCCAACGTTCGGCGGTTGTATTTGCGTTTGATAACGCGAGGTGTTTCGGGCGAATTGTCGGTCATGCTGGCGCACTCGAGGACGGTTCCGATGGATGGCGGCGGTGGGCCTCCTGAAGTGTGCCCACACATTGCGCGAAGAACCGGCTTCCACTGCTTTAACTGGTGTGGCCGAGCATTGCAGTTTGATTCGAGCCGCGAAGGCCGCATTGGTTCGCGCAGCTCGAGAAGATAGGGGGCGAGTGGCGAACACGGTGGCCTACAGGAAAGTTACAGTTTCGCGAAAGAGAGGAATCCTTTCGGGCATGAACGTAGACCCTGGTCTCGTTCGATGGTCCAGTGCGGCACGCTCGGCCCAAATAACCCCAAATGACGAAGTTTCAGCAGATTTGGTGAAAACAGCTGTGGCGCCAAATTGGCGCCAAATGGCGCCAGCGCTAAAAACGGGTGTCGTTTTCGTAATCAGGACCCCAAATAACCCCAAATGACGAAGTTTCAGCAGATTTGGTGAAAACAGCCGTGGCGCCAATTGGCGCCAAATGGCGCCAAATGACACCAGCATCAAAAATGAATGTCATATTCGTAATCAGGGCATCGAATTACCCCAATAGACAAAGTTTCGACGAAAAATGAAACTTTGAGATTTTGGGGCAGTAATCGTGGGATATAGGGGAATGCTGAAAACGGTGAAAAACCAAAGTTTCAACTGGGGAAGTAATGCATATCATTCGATAGCATTTTTCACGGGGAAGCTAACGGGGCACATTTCAGGTCTGCGAGTTCATCTGGAAATGCAAAAAATCTGAACATTCCACAAGGGCATGACGAGGAGGCATGTTTGGGGCCACACCACGGAAGGAACGCTCACTTGCGACCGAGTTTTCCACATAATTCCTACAGACAAGTGACCATAGTCTACGACAGTGAAGGAAATTCTTCGCTTCCTTTACAGCTTTCTACAAAACATTCCTCTAAAAATGGGACTTGTCACGTAATAGGGGGCAAAGGCATGACAAGGGGTGATGTTTGGGGTCACACCACGGAAGAAACGCTCACCTGCGACCAAGGTTTCCATATAATCCTTACAGACAAGTGACCGTAGTCTACGACAGTGAAGGAAATTGTTCGCTATCTTCACAGCTTTCTGCAAAACATCTCCTCTGAAAATGGAAAATGTCACATAATAGGCCCACTATGCCTGCTGAGAACTGTTCAAAGATTCCACTTGATATACAGAGGATGGGATATTGAGAGCAGAGGGAACACGTAAAGCCAGTAAGCGCTTAAAACGAAATGAAGATCTAAGAATTCGGAAAATAACATTCATCTAATCTCACAATGTAGTGGATGAGATTGAGTACGTGGCGCATTCTGGGGTAAGTTTTGAGGCCCTTCTTTGTGTGTAGCGGTTAGCCCGCATAAGCGGGATTATATACACATCACATGCGAGCAACTACTTTTTGAGATGAAATCGAGTGCATGGCGCATTCCGAAATCAAGCTTTCTGAAAATATTTTAGCACCATCTTGTAGCGCTTGAAGAGCTGAGTTCAACGGTGTTTTCCGTTTCTGGAATACTTCACTCTGACCCGAGTTATAACGAATTCACGAAATTAACGAGGATTCGCGTTATTCGCGTGAATTTTCGATTTCAAACGGCGAGTACTGTACCATGAGTGTCAACCTTGCCTAGTGCTGTCAGAAATTGTTGATGATCCTTTGCCAAAACTCAGCGGAGTGCGGGTCGAGAAGGAGGCGACCTCACTTTCGAGTTGGAGTTGTTCGTCTAATTATTTTATCATCAAGATAATGATTAAAGGTCCGGAGTAGGTGGCATCCATTCACACAGCTAGACCAGGAGAATACGATATGTGAGGTAAAAAATCTTACGATATGAGAGGTAAAAATTCTTGCCGCAGCTCCAGAATTTCTTACCGGGCTCATTTCGGATCATGGTGATTCGCAATGTCATGAAAGAAATAAATATTGTCGCGGTACGAGGGCTCCTGACGAGCTGCCTCGGCCAGCTTCTGGAGTTCCGCAGCCTAGACCTCTACCTACACAATGGTGCCCATAACGAAGAATTTGTAGTGGAGCTTCCGTAAGAGCCCTACCTGTAATGTGTGTAGGGACGCTGCTGGCTTCTTATAAAAATATCAAAAGATCGAAAGCGCTGGTAAAGGTGAAACACGCTGTAGCGGTGAACGACATGCCTATTGAAGCTATTGCAGATAGTGTTGGTCGTTGACACGAATCCATAGTTATGGAGACATTTGTACTAGACAGTGACTCGGAGTATGGATTTACTAGTGGTCGAGGTTTTTTGAATTTTCTTGGATAACTACTGACTGCAGCACTTATATCCACCTCGTGGATTGAAGTCCGAGAATGCTCTACCATTTTTTAGTCATAAATGTTACCTGGTTGCCATAAATGTTACTACTAGAGGAAGACTACGATTTATGCTAAAAACTGCAAACTCTTATTTTTGCCAAGACTAACAAGTAAGAGAAGAAACGAAGCTGGAAATCCCCGCGACCCGAAATGTTAGAAAATAGCATGTAAACTATATTGAATAAACTAACCAGGGCATAAGCGGACTGAGATAGGCGAGCTGCGCCGAGATGTTATGATGCTAACGCGTAAATACTCGGTAAAGAACTTACGTACGCGAATGGAAGGCGATGGCGTAAAGAAACGGACGTGCGGTCATGACGGCGACAGCCGGCAGACTGCTGCGCCAAGCGTGAGAGACGCCAGACGCCAGCGGTTTTAGAATCTTCCACGAGTCTGTTTGAACCGAGTATGGACCGTGCATGGCGCGTACGCTAAGCGTATCTCTGCCCGTAGATCGCGACTTTACTTGAGGTCGTGGCGACGGTCACGACAGGGGGGCTGTTTCTGTGACGACCACGAGCAATCTAAGGATGGTGCGCGATAGAATTTGCAGGTAGTTGACGCGCTGGTTTCACTGGATGTCACGAGAGATAGGAATCAAAGGGGCTCTTTTGGACTTATTGGAGCCCATTGCTATCCTGAACTTGTTTCACTTTGAGAATCATTGTTGGATCTTTAGTCAAGCAGGAGCTCCCATTCAGGCGAGGGTGCTGCAGAATTTGTGCAAAACCAATTTTTGCGACTTCATCAGGTCAAGCGGTGGCAGGTCAACAAATTAGAATTCGATGGATTGTATCGTTGGTCGGTTCCGTGGCCTAAGACTTGCATGTAGATTCTTATTTTTGGGGATTCGTCGAAGGAATTGCCTCAAAATAGGAAAGACAAGTCCTATGCACCACATTGGGTACCACACTCGATGGTTCCTTGATCCTTCTCAAGGTACGTGTAAATATAAAAATGCAATTTCGGGAACTTGGTGAATACTTATGATTGAAGATGGAACTGTGAACGTTACTGCATTTTTGGTTTCTCAGAATTGTAGCATGCTCATCTTAGGCAAATCTAACCAGGAAGGTCTTTCAGGGCGTGACGAGCTTTTTGAAAACGGTCTTTTGCATGATATAGGGGCAGATGCGGGAACCACAGAACCATGTTTAATTTTTCCTGAACGGCCCTCTGAATACCAGAAAAGGGGGTCCCTAGTTCGATTCCTCTTGGTGACAAATTTTTGCATTTCGAAAATTCGCGCAAAATGGAGTTCTGATTGTTCTGGTTGGTTCTAACTCCATTTTGCGCGAATTTTGGCACGTCAACTCGAAATGCAAAAATTTGTCACCACGAGGAATCGAACTAGGGACCTCCTTTTCTGGTATTCAGAGGGCCGTTCAGGAAAAATTGAACATGGTTCTGTGGTTCCCGCATGTGCCCCTATATCATGCAAAAGACCGTTTTCAAAAAGCTTGTCACGCCCTGAAAGACCTTCCTGGTAAGTTGCTGTCGCCATAATTTTGACACTCCCTGTAAAAGGGGTGGAGAATGTAGTGACGCGTTGGTTCAATGGTTGTACCAGTTGTTCAAATAGAGGTTTTCTTGAAAGAGAAAAAGGATCAAAGTTAAGTGAAACACCTAGTAAATGTCGGTTAACATATTGGCGATATCAAGGAGAGGTCAACAGTAAGCGGATCGCAGTTAAACGAGGTTTTTTCCACATGCAGGTGACTGGAAGTGCGAACAAATCTTCTCATAATCGCGGTTGCATCTAGAGTTGTTTACCCGCTTATCCCTGGAACAAAGTCTGGCAGTGGACAGAAACCCCGAGGGAATAGAAGATTTCTCACGCATAAAAAAGATTTCTCATACGCAGACAAACGTTTCTCATGAAACCGGCAGGAATTGAATAATGGTGTGGTGAATTTGTCTGATTCCGTAAATCAGGTTCAAGATTCGTGAACGTGTTCCACTCCCAAAAAGAGGCTGATCGGTACGAGTACAGGTGCGATCGGTAAAAAAAACATTTCCGGAAACAAACCTCTTTACGGGCGCAAGTGGTGTAGTGCTTACCACGCGAGCGGTCCGGGGATCAAATCCTGGGTCGTGAGTCGCCCGGGCCAACCAAGCCTTCCATCCCTCCGGGGTCGGTTAATTGGTACCAGACTTGTCTGGGAGGATAAAAACACTGACTTGTACATCGGCTGGCCCCCGCAAGTCATTGTATAGGCCACAGCAAATGCTTTTATCTTTGAGCCTCTTTGCCTTCAAACCTGTTCCCATGCTGTTCCCGCCGCATTCAAACGCCACTACGAATGTACAAATGGAAGTAGAATGCGTGCCGCATCCCAAAAAGGGATTGATCAACGGCAAATGCTTTATCCTTTGAGCCAGCCTCTTTACCTTCAAACCTGTTCCCATGCTTTCAAAACTTTTGAGGCCAAAAAACTCACGCCGAGTCAAACACACATGCTACTGCGTGTGCAGGAGGCTGCGATGTTGGACAAGCTTGGTATGCGCATCCAACGTGAGTTGACTTGTAGTAGGCCATCTAAAGAAGAAAAGTTCATAGTTTCTCAGGATAATTGTAAGCATACTTCGTAATACCTATGTATGGCATGGTTTACAGAGATGTTCAATAAAAGCTGTTTTATATGAAATTGATGCCGTTGATCAATCCCGTCTCTTATATCCGAGCTTGATTGGTCGTTTGATAGAAAAGTCGCTTTTAATTTTATATAAAAAAGTAAATTAATAATACCAATCATCCCGTCCTAAGAGCCAACGTCATCCACCTTTTGACCGCATCTCTGTGTCGCCCCTTCATGTTCAGTCAGGCACCACGTCAAGAAAAATGTCCGATTGAACACGACCGTGAACTTTCACACCCCCTTCTGATTCCTAAGTATTCTCAACACTTATAAGGGGAGTCTTTCAAGGAAAACCGGCTTTTTCAAAACGGTTTCTTGCATGTTGTAGGGGCTTATTGCGAGATATTGTTGCTGGTTCGATCCCCGTGGCGATTAAAGTTTGCATTTCAGGTTGGCGCCTGAGGGTTGGTGTCAAATGGCGCCAAGTGTCAAAATCAGATGTCGCACAACCACGCTGAGGCCAACAAGTAGCCGCCAACTCGAATGCAAAATTTGACGCCACCAGGAATCGAACCATTACAGTAATTTGCACTTTTTTGATACTACTAAACCGTTCAGCGAAAACGAAACATGGTTTTGCGGTCCATACATGCGTCCCTACAATATGCAGGAAACCGTTTTGAAAAAGCGCGGTTTGCCCTGAAAAACCTCCCTTGTTAGTTCTTGCCTTTCGCCCTTATCCTCCTGATTCAATTTATACCCGTACTTCCTACTGAGTGGGAAAAATCACTTGTCATCTAAATTCACCTAAAAAATATAGTGCTCTCTTTACCAAGTATAAGTTACGTTCTCTCCCCCCCCCCCCTTCTGCTCCAAAAAAACTGAAAACATGGACGTCATCGCAAGATATGGAAGTAGTTGCACTGCATTAGAATCATGTGACCATTCTTTTCGTTACAAACGGGACTAAACCCTAGGGGTGAATGAAAGACTCCAGGGTGCGTGAGCAATTTTCATTGTTTTAAAGTCCCTGTCCTCTTCTAGGCTTAGTCTTAGGAGATGTCCCCGTATCTTGGAATTGATATAGTACGGTACTGAACCAACTAAAACCTATAAATGCTCAAACTACTGGCATAACTAAACACAAAATCACTTACAATTGATCGGACTTAGTGACCAAAAAAAAACTAAAAACAAAAACTAAATATGGGTAGCAGGACTTTGCCCCAAACTAATATCGAGGATTGGTCCCATTTCGATATAAATAAAGAGAATTAGAAAAGGAGACCTTAGTTAAAAGCTTACATTAGCAAAAGTTTCCAGATTTGTGTTAGCGTACGTGATTTGATCGTCTATCTCATGACGCAGTACTGGTTGCGTCCAAGTTGCGAACGCTAGTGGTACCACAGTGGCGTTATCATAATCAGTCGGCAACCCATATATCCTTAAAAAAATTCTCCAAGTAATATTCCACTTATCAACATCTTTGCGAGGACGAATATTGCTTACTTGTAAAAATTCATTGACCCTCCTGGTGGAATCATGTTACTTGTTTCGCAACCTGCTGTGTTATACTGAGCGTACAGTTCCAAGAAGGAGTCGTATTTCTGAAATGAACATGATTCAATCGTGATTGCAGATTCCATCAATAGAAGGATTGGCATCGCATCAGCTGAAGACGTTACATTATTTTTTTAATGGGCAGCACTATGTTAGGCACAAGTTAGGGTGAGTTCAGGCGGATGAATCCCTTTTCTGGCTAGGATAAAGCTCTTCAGAGGTCCCAAATCCAACATATTCCTGTTCTTCAAGTGCGTAACAAGGGCGCTAGGGTTTAGCAAAATCGCTTCAACCGCTTCCATTTTCTCTTCTCCGCTGTATGCTGGTGTTTGTGCTCTCTTGCCTTTTCTCTATCCTTCTGTGTCTCTCAACTCTTCACACAATAGTAAGCAGCCCTCAAATTTAGCTTTTTCGACAAATCTCCTCCCTTTTTCCTTACGGCCTGTCTACTTCGCAGTAGTTTTCGTATTCAGGGGTACGAACAACGTATTCGATCCTGGGGCGTAGCTTGCAATGTCGCCCGATACCACACCCTGATCTTATTGTTCTATTCTGCGCACATTTTTAGCTCATAACGATATTAAAGGAATCGTTTCTGGTAAAATCATGATTCTATCTCCCCCATAAATCACTGGCTTGAGACCTGCCGTTCACGATAAGAACGAAAAGAACAAAAAATTGCATTTGTTTTGGTAAACAATTTGAAAAAGCGGCCTGCTACGCGATCAAGTTCCCGCCAGACATACGTCACAAATGGGAACGCTTCCACTTAGTTCAGGAAATGCTGTCACTAGCATTTTTTCTTTTTTTTGATTTTTTGACTGCTTGCACTAAGATCCCACACTTCTACTGCATCCTATTCTATCAATTGTAATGTTTCTATTCTCCGAGATCGAACTCTTACCCCATTCTTCAAACGCGTCGAATGATACGTGGCCGCCAAAGCGCTTATAGTATTTCCATGCCCCGCCTTTGGCTCCGCGCCGACCTACCTTCGACTGTCCATAGAGTGTGGTTTCGTAGTTTGTTTCTCTTCGGAAACTGAATCTTCGTGCGTGAAACTTTGTATGTTGTCTCTAGTGATCACAACTGACATATGCATGTTGGGAAAGAATGCAAGAATTTTCCGGGAAGGATTCCTTTTGACATATTTATGTTGGTGATAGCCAGGGTCAATCACGTTGCTCAAAGATCAATAGCTCGTATTTGTCCAAGGGAAGGGTGGCGGGGAGAGGGAAGGTAATAAGCTTGAAGGCAGCGATTACGATAAAGTGGGAGCGCATCGGGAAGCATATGCACCACACGAATCAGTTACTTGGCTGCCAGGAAGCGAGGTGTAGCGCTTTCACGACGAAAGGTGCGCTGGTTGCTGAGCAGGACTTCGAAAGCACTCCGCCCCCAAAAGCGATCCGCCCACTAGTTTAGTTGGTGATTTGGACGAGCTGCGTTGCCAGCAGCGGCACAACTAAAGCAACTCGACTGTAGCATGGATTGGCATGCTGTCACCAAACGCGTTGCGCTGAACTCGTTCATACGTCCGCTTTCTGAGCTGTTACCTGTTCATGAGTGAAAACTAACGGCCAAAAAAGGGGTCCCGTTTTGCGTTTTCTTGACGGATTTCTCCGCTTTTTTCGCTACTGGCGTACCACTGAGCACCACCAGTCTCCTATAAACCCTTCTTGAATATATCATAACCTTACAACTTTTAAACTAAACTTTAACTTTTAAACTTTTAAGTACCAGTTACAAAATCTAAAGGTACCAAGCGTAGCAGAGTGACAGGGGAGAACAGTCATTCGTTAACCCTGCGATTACTAATCACAGACAACTGAATCTCGCATCCCAGAGCAGAAATTCCAACTAAATCACTTTATAACCCAGTGACGCACGCAAACACATTCTTTGGTGTGAAATTATTTTGTTACATTTATGTTTTGCCTTTCTCGAAACTCAAAATCTGAAGTAATGTGAGACGGCGCTTCGACGTAGAAGTGTTAGTCAGGGTATATTGGAATGTACACGTCTTTCACAGAAGTTGTTTCACCGGAGGGATTTTGGTCCTACTACCGTGGGGGTAAGGATGTGGTGTTAAGAAGCTCTGCTCGCCTGCGCGCGGACTGGGGTTCAAATCCTGGGTCTGCGTCTTCTCCCAATTACGCTCTCCATCCCTCAGTCGGTTATTTGGTACCAGACTTGTCAGGGAAGATGAAAAGATAGTGACTCATATATCTGCTCGGGCAAGTCGTTTGTATACTCCAAATCTCATTCGGATTGCCACCACGATTCTGAATGGAAAATGAATGCGTGGCGCACCCCAGAGGACTGATCAATGCCAAATGCTTAATGGCATTTATGCATTTCTTTCAGATGATTGTTATCTTCTGATGGATAGACCTGATTTGAGTTTGCAGTTAGATAGCGTAATGGTAAAGCTTCTGGAACAAGGACATCTGGATTCAACCCCGTCTTCGAACCCTGCAGTGAATGTTCTGGAGCTCCTGCTTAGCTGGGCGAGTGGATTTTTTTTGCAGCCAACAGTTGTCTGAGGCGAGCAAATCTTTATCGTTTTCTGCAAAGTTCTATATTTCGGCGTATCTGCTGCGTAGATTCAGGTATACAGATGTATTTTTTGGAAACACCGAACAACGCCTGGTCGCCAACGTCTTAAGGTGCTAACAGAAGGATGCTAATTTCTGTGCCCTCATGTGTTCTATGAAGGCTCCTACGATGACTTAAGTACATTGTAAGGCATCTCGGGGTGTTCTTAAGAAACGTCTGGTTTCTCCATGGCTTCTTTACATCGCCAAATGTAGACTTCACTAAATTCCAAAGGGACAGAGTCATTTGTGCTTTTTTAAGTGAGGGAAGGGTCCCACCATCTTGCAACCTACGGAATACCTGAAATCAGAAAAAAACTAAATCTTCTCCCAAATCTACAA